AGCCACTGCACCTGGCCTAATTTTTTTTTTTTTTTTTTTTTTTGAGGCAAGAGTTTTGCTCTTGTTGCCCAGGCTGGAGCTAAATGGCCCAACCTTGGCTCACTGTAATGTCAGCCTTCTGGGTTCAGGGGATTCTCCTGCCTCAGCCTCCCCAGTAACTAGGATTATAGGTGCCCACCACCACGCCCAGCTAATTTTTTGTATTTTTAGTAGAGATGGGGTTTCACAATTTTGGTCAGGCTGGTCTTGAACTCCTTACCTCAGGTGATCCACCCGCCTCAGCCTCCCAAAGTGCCGAGTTTACAGGTGTGGGCCACCACACCCAGCCTAGTGTTTTTTAATTAAAGGGTAACACATGGATTTTACAGATAATTTTAAAAATACAGAAAGATAGAAAAAAGAAAATTTAAAATCACCCATGAATTTACCTCGTACAGTACTATTGTTACTATTTGGGTGAAATACTTTCTAGTAGTTTTTGTGTACATATCTATTATTTTTAATAAGTACCTTCTGAGGGCATCTTATTTTGTGGGAAGTATACTGCTTTTTAAAATTTTAAAATATTAATATTGGCTGTCCATGGTAAGTCATGCCTTGTAATTCCAGCACTTTGGGAGGCTGAGGGAGGATCCCTTGAGCACAGGAGTTTGAGACTAGCCTGGGCAACAAAGCAAGACCCCACCTCTAAAAAAAATAATAATTAGCCAGGCCTGGTGACAGTGGCAGTGGTGTGCATCTGTAATCCTACTACTCAGGAGGCTGAGGAGGTAGGACCTTTGACGCCAGAAATTCAAGGTTGCAGTGAGTTATGACTATGCCACTGCACTACAGCCTGGGTGACAGAATGAGACCTTGTCTTGAAAAAAAATTTAATATTTAATCTTTCATCAAATACTGTTAGAAAACATGGTTTGAAGATATATAAGTAATTTCCAGGCAGTATAGTATAGTGGTTAGGATTGTAGGCCCCCATGCCAGACTGGATTTAATTTTATTTTTTAGGGGGTGGGGGATGGAGTCTCGCTCTGTCGCCCAGACTGGAGTGCAGTGGCACGATCTTGGCTCACTGCAACCTCTGCCTCCTGGGTTCAAGCGATTCTTCTGCCTCAGCCTCCCAAGTAGCTGGGATTAAAAGTGCGAGCTACCATGCCTGGCTAATTTTTGTGTTTCTGGTAGAGACAAGGTTTCACCATGTTGGCCACACTGGTCTCGAACTCCTGAGCCCAAGTGATCTGCCCACCTTGGCCTCCCAAAGTGCTGGGATTATAGGTGTGAACCATCATGCTTGGCCAGCCTCTTTCATTCAACATGTACTTTGACCCAGATTCCTGGGGATCTGAATTCTTGAAGGCTTTCTATCCCAGAAACACTGGCTTTTCCAGAATCCAGGCCTGAGGGCAGGAACTTGCTTGTCATAGTTATGGCCAAATCATGAAACCATATTCTCTTCAGACTAGCATAGGCTTTAGGGTTCAGCTTACTTCCCTTCTTGGAACTTGGGTTGCAGTATCAGGCTTTCAGCAGAGCTAGGATATGCTGAGAGAGTCTCCTTGAGTAGAGGTGGCAGTGGGAGAAACGTGGTTTCAGGAGACATAAATTGCAAGAAACCAAATAGGTCATTTAGGGGGAGAAAATCAAAGGTCTGTACTGAATCTAGGGTAAGACTTTGGTAGGATAGGAGAATTAAGTTAGTCTTGAAATTGAGGCATGAGAGGGTCCAGCTTGTTGGTTGGGAGACTCCCTAAACAAGTTATAGCCATTCTAGACAAAGTTCCATCCTAGAAGGGAGGGCCCAGGAAGTCTCTATATAACCAACTCTAGGGCAGAGTCTGGAAGCTGGTAGCCCGTGAGCCAGACTTGGCCCACAGATAGGTTTGTTTGGTTTGTGATGGTGTAAATAATTTTGGATTAGATGCCAACAATTTGAAAATCAGGACTTGCCTTTTCTCTTGAAAAATCTAAGGTTCTGATCGTTGGACTCAAATTCTTGCCTGATACGATGAGCTGGATTTGAGTAGTCGTAGCTTCTTTTCACATTTATTTTTTTTATTTAAAAAGAGTCTCCCGGCCGGGCGCCGTGGCTCACGCCTGTAATCCCAGCACTTTGGGAGCCCGAGGCGGGTGGATCACGAGATCAAGAGATCGAGACCATCCTGGTCAACATAGTGAAACCCCGTCTCTACTAAAAACTACAAAAAATTAGCTGGGCATGGTGGTATGTGCCTGTAGTCCCAGCTACTCAGGAGGCTGAGGCAGGAGAATTGCCTGAACCCAGGAGGCGGAGGTTGCGGTGAGCCGAGATCGCGCCATTGCACTCCAGCCTGGGCAACAAGAGCAAAACTCCGTCTCAAAAAAATAAATAAATAAATAAAAAATAAAAATAAAAAGAGTCTCCCTGTTTTGCCCAGGCTGGTCTCAAACTCCTGGCTCAAGTGATCCTCTTGCCTCAGCCTCCCCATGTGTTGGGATTACAGGTGTGAGCCACTGTGGCGGGCTGTGGCTCCTTTTAAGTGGAGTATAGACTCCCCAATCCACTACAGTCCTCCACTTCTTGTTTTATACCCAGACTTATCTGCCTTTGCTCACTCATACTACTTTCCTGGCCCCTGAAGGCACTGCTCTTTCAGATCTTGGCTTTCTGGCTGTACTCCATCCCATTCTCAGGGTATAGCGGCAAGGAGATCCAAGCAGCTTTTTGGAGATTTCAGGCTGTTTTACCTACAGATTATCCTAGAACAGTGGTTCTAAGCCAGAGGGGTGTTTGTCTTCCAGGAAATATTTAGCAATATCTGGAGACACTTTGGTTGTCACAACACCTGGGAAGGGGTGTTTTTTGTTTTTAACGGGTAGAGGTCAGGGGTGCTGGTGAACATACTGCCATGCACAGAACAGCTCCTCACAATAGGACTTAGCTGGCCTAAAATGTCAATAGTGCTGAGGTTGAGAAACTCTGTCCTAAGGGTGCATTCTGTTCATATGTGTTCTGGGGTTTGGGAATCTCACATGGTGAGGCAGGGCCTCAGGCTGCTGACTGACTGTTTAGGGGCTCATACTCACTTGCGGGACTAATGGGGACAAATGTTGGTTCTTGAGGTAGGTACATAGGGTCTTCTCTTTGCCTGTGTGACCAGCAGGATTCACAGTCACCCAGGTACCCTTGGGTACCTTGATTTGACAGAAGGGTGATGGTTCTGGCTTGGGTGTTGTCAGCTCATTTATCTTTGTGGGCTTTGACCTCGGGATCCTGCCTCTTGTGTAGGCTCACACACATCATTGGAAAGTATTTGCTTTGAAGATTTCACTGTGGAAGGAGTTCATTACTGACACAGCAGCATCAAAGCCCAGTGCCTGCTCACAGCTGAGACTCCATTCACCTGCGTTTGTTTGGCAAGGCTGACAATGAACAGGAGGAGGAGGAGGAGGGAGACTGGGAAGGATGAGACTGGAGGGAAGAAGAAACATTGTATGATTCCCCAGTATCCATTGTTTCCATGGTTTCTTGCTGTCTTGGACACAGTTCTCAGTAGAAAGAATATTCTCCCTATTTTGGATAGTTGCTATGGACAGACAGCTTTCATGTTGAGAGTGATACAGGCATAAGGAAGACTGGGTCTTGATCATAGTTGCATAAAGACTCCAACCCTATATATAATTTGAATGTTTTCTTTTCTTTTCTTTTTTTGAAATGGAGTTTTGCTCTTGTTGCCCAGGCTGGAGTACAAGGGTGTGACCTCAGCTCACTGCAACCTCTGCTTCCCCGGGTTCAAGTGATTCTCTTGCCTTAGCCTCCCAAGTAGTTGAGATTACAGGCATTGGCCACCATGCCCAGCTAATTTTTTTGTATTATTAGTAGAGACAGAGTTTCACCATGTTGGCCAGGCTAGTCTCGAACTCCTGACCTCAGGTGATCCACCTGCCTTGGCCTCCCAAAATGCTGGGATTATAGGCGTAAACCACTGTGCCTGGCCAGTTTGAATGCTTTCATAATGGGACTAAATGTATTTGTATAATTGAAAACAAAGACACTGGCTAGGCTAAGTGGTTCTTGCCTGTAATCTCAGCAGTCTGGGAGGCCAAGGCAGGAGGATCACTTGAGCCCAGGAGTTCATGACCAGCCTGGGCAACATGAACTTGTCTCTTAGAAAACAGAAAAACACACACAAAAAGGATACTTTTTAAAAAGAAATGGTAGCTACTGGTTCTGGGATCTCCATTTGGAAGGGTTTACCTCCCCTTGAGTGTTAGCATTTCACTCCTGAATGTCTTGTAGTTGTCCCCTCCACCTGCCTTTTTTTCTTCCATAATTTTTTTTTTTTTTTTTTTTGAGACAGAGTTTCGCTCTCGTTACCCAGGCTGGAGTGCAATGGCACGATCTTGGCTCACCGCGGCCTCCGCCTCCTGGGTTCAGGCAATTCTCCTGCCTCAGTCTCCTGAGTAGCTGGGATTACAGGCACACACCACCATGCCCAGCTGATTTTTTTTGTATTTTTAGTAGAGACGGGGTTTCACCATGTTGACCAGGATGGTCTCGATCTCTTGACCTTGTGATCCACCCGCCTCGGCCTCCCAAAGTGCTGGGATTACAGGCGTGAGCCACCGCGCCCAGCTATTTTTTTTTTTTTTTTTGACACAGAATCTCTGTCTCCCAGGCTGGAGTGCAGTGGTGTGATCTCAGTTCACTGCAACCTCCGCCTCCCGGGGTTCAAGCAATTCTTCTTCCTCAGACTCCTGAGTAACTGGGACTATAGGCATGGGCCACCACACCCGGCTAATTTTTTTGAATTTTTAATAGAGACAGGGTTTCACCGTATTGGCCAGGCTGGTCTCGAGCTCCTGACCTGATCTGTCCATGTTAGCCTCCCAAATTGCTGGGATTACAGGAGTGAGCCACTGTGCCCGGCCTTTCTTCTACATTTTTGTTGTTCTTTTTCTTTAGGATTGCACTACTTTGTCCTTGAATGCCCCTTCGTAACACTCAGCCTGTCTGTGGGAGGAATTGGAAGGTTTCCCTCCACTCTCTGTTGCCTGTGGAAAAAGAGAGTTGTGACTACTGTCACCGTAGTACAACTTCAGGTTGCCAGGCCATCTCCTCATCAGAAAGAGAGTATGAAAGTCGGGCCGGGCGCGGTGGCTCAAGCCTGTAATCCCAGCACTTTGGGAGGCCGAGGCGGGTGGATCACAAGGTCAAGAGATCGAGACCATCCTGGTCAACATGGTGAAACCCCGTCTCTACTAAAACTACAAAAAATTAGCTGGGCATGGTGGCGCGTGCCTGTAATCCCAGCTACTCAGGAGGCTGAGGCAGGAGAATTGCCTGAACCCGGGAGGTGGAGGTTGCGGTGAGCCGAGATCGCGCCATTGCACTCCAGCCTGGGTAACATGAGTGAAACTCCGTCTCAAAAAAAAAAAAAAAAAAAAAAAAAAGAGAGTATGAAAGTCACAGTTCTGTCAGAGGGTGCATATGTTATTCAGTATTAACTTGGGTTTCAGACAACAGAAAACCTTTAGCAGCATGGCTCAAACATGTTGATGTTTATTTCTCTCACATGTTAAAAAGAAGGCATGTGGGCTGGGTGACTTTGATCCTTCAGGGAACCAGGTTCATTCCTTCTGTCTTCCTGCTGTGCCATCCTCAGCATATGACTTCTAGCTGGTGGTTCAGGATGGCTACTGAAGCTCTAGCTGTCATGTCTGCATTGTAGCTGACAGGAAGGACAAAGACACACCCTCCCCATTTAAACATACTTCCTGAGGTCTTTTTTTTTTTTTTTTTTTTTTTGAGACAGCTTCTTTCTCCATGCTGGAGTGCAGTGGCGTGATCTCGGCTCACTGCAACTTCTACCTCCCAGGTTCAAGTGATTCTCCTGCCCCAGCCTCCTGAGTAGCTGGGACTACAGGCATGCACCACCATGCCCAGTCAATTTTTTTATTTTTAGTAGAAATGGGATTTTACCATGTTGGCCAGGATGGTCTTAATCTCTTTACCTTGTGATCCGCCCACGTTGGCCTCCCAAAGTGCTGGGATTACAGGCATGAGCCACCATGTCTGGCCTCCTGAGGTCTTATATGAAATATTTGCATACATCCCAGGGGAAAACGCTGATACATGTCCATACCTACCTGCAGGAGAGGCTGGGAAATGTCAGCTTTATTTTGGACAGCCATGACTTCAGCTAAAATTTCTATTACGAAGGAAAAAAGGGAAGAACAGATAGAGGAAGATAACTAGCTGTCTCTGCCACAGAGAGTGTGTGGGGGTTTGGTTAGGCTGGTAGGAGAAATTTTAGTTATAGAGAATATACACAAACTCTTTTAGAAGGCCTGAGAGTTTTATTATAGTACTTGCCTTGTCCCCTTAGTTAAATAGAGTAGAAACTAAAGAATGTTCACACATTAGTTTATCTAACTAACTTGTTTGCTCATATGGTCCTAAGACTAACCTTTTTCTACTGCAGGTGCTTAACTGCTTCCTACTGGGGTGATTGGCAAATGGTGTTTGCTTTAGGCCTTAGAACCTGGCCTTTAATCTTTACCCTCTAGTGGTGTTAACTCAAAGCTCTTGTCATTTAATGTGTGCTGAATAAAGGCCAGGAAGGCCAAGAAGTTGGGGCCAGCTGTCGATAACTCCTGTAGGTGAATGGCCCAGACACCCCAGCCTGCTCTTTCACTGTATTCTGTGTTTGAGTGAATTTATTCATCCGTTATTGAGTCAAGGTCTGCAGGACAGATCCCCACAACTTTGGGAATTTGTTTCTGCTTTGGCTTTAAGTCTGGATCTGCGATTTGAGTACTCCTTTCTCAGCAATATGCTCCCAGAGAGCCTTGAAGACCCTCAGGTGGGTCCCACGCTCATTGGTGCAGGCTTATCCAGCAAGGAAATGAGACCAGGAGAAGAGGGAAGGCTTGGACAATTTAATTGTGGTAGTTGAATCTTAGCATCTGGCTTAAAGGCCCACCTGTTGACTTTGTTTGAACTCTGATAGTTTATGGTAAGCTAGAGGGGCTGGGAGTTCTGGGAAGCAATAGAGGAGGTAGGATCAGATGGTGAAATTTTGTTTCTTAATTACAGGAGAACAGTCAAGGGAATTGGCTTCTGCTTGATAGACTGTTCTAGGAGCTCTCTGTTCTCTGGCAGGGCTGAGAGTAGGGTGAGGCAAGTGAGGTGCCTGGGGCCAGATGCTGCAGGGCATGCTCACTCTCAGGTTCCTTCCTATAGTCCCCTGAGAGTGACTGCCTCCTTGAATATTGTGCCCTAGGCACCTCCTAGCTTCACCCTGCCCTGGCTCTGCCTTCTGGTGCTACATTGTTGCTAATGAACTATTTTTATTTTAAAAAATTCTTTAAAAATTTTTTCAGAGGCCATGCTAATCTTCTCTGTATGGTTCCAATTTTAGCAGATGTGCTGCTGAAGTGAGCACAAACTATTTTTATTTTTATCTAGAAAGATGCGTTATGTTCACAGTAAACCAGTCATAAGGGCACATAGTGGAAAAAGTCTCCCTCTCTTTCCACAGCTTTAGGCTTTCTCTCATGAGGAGCCACTCTGACCAAGGGCTTTTGTATCTTTCCAGCTGGTCTGTTGGAATGGACTCTGCAGGGACTTCCAGAAGCAGCTACCTTCATTCAAGTTTAGCACCTAGTTGTTGCATTTCCACTGTGTGTAGTATTTACCAGTGTGCAGAGAGGACCAAACCTATAGCACATGTATGGCAGGATAGAGGGAAGGAGAAGGAGCAGAAGTGAGACCCAGTGCCTGTTAGTGGGTCTGAGGAGTCTATCAGCTTCTTTTCCCCTTCTTGGAGCTGCAAACAAGAAGCACAGTTAGCACTGCCAGGATATTGTCAGTCTCTTTTTCTATGTGTATTTCCATCTTTTTGTGTCTCTTTTTGTCCCCTTCTCTCTGTCTCTGTCTCCTTGTCTCTCTCTTCACCCCCCTGATTCTGCCTTCTGTGTATTTTCTTGTCTTTCTTTTTTTTTTGTTTTTTGTTTTTTTTAGAGGCAAGTTCTCACTCTGTTGCCCTGACTGGAGTGCAGTGACTATTCACAGATGCTATTAAAGTGCACTATAGGCCCGGACTCTGGGCTCAGCAGCTCTCCTACCTCAGCCTCCCATGCAGTTGGGACTCCAGGTGTGCACCGCAGCCCCCGCCCCGTCAGTCTTTTTGTCCAAGCTGCATGCCCTCTCACTTCTGCTTCTTTTTGTGGTCCCGTTTCCTTCCTCTGCTTACTTATAGTTTCTGTCCCTTTGTTACTAAGGGCTTGTTTGTGACTTTGACTTGCTGTAGCCCCTGACCCTTCTGTCCATTACTGTTAGATTCAGTTTCTTGGTATTCTAACTCTTTGTTTCTGGGAGAGGCAATATAACAGGATCAACTTGGGTCCAGTGTCTGACTCCATTAGCCATGATAGGGAAGGGGAGACAGTTCCCAGGAAGGAGCTGAGGAGATACCTCAAAACATGGCTACTGTACTGTAGAGGGGTCTATGGATTACTGGTGCCTATTAACTAGGTAATCTTTATGTTAGCTGATCGAGGCTTAACCCCATACAGGTAGCTTTGATCATCAGGGTAGGTTTCCAGGAAGACCTGCCAGCAGCATGCATTCCTTTGGGCTTCTTCTTCCCTCCCATTTGACCACTGTCCCCCTACTCCCACATCATGATTGACTAGTAAGCACCTGTGTTATTCGCCAATGTATTGAGTGAAAGCTCTTTCAAGCCATTAAGCCTGCCACCTGCCCACTGTGTTCATTTTCACAGTCTGGCTGTAGGCACTCCATTTGAGTGGGAGAATATTCAACTTTCTGACAAGTTGCCTTGCCCCAGGGAATTGGAAGTTAGAGTGAAAATCTTACTGCCTTGGTTCCAACCAGGGTTTATCAGTGCCCCTCTTTGCTTGGTGATGAGTTTACAATATGGCCAGGTGCAGTGGCTCATGCCTGTAATCCTAGTACTTTGGGAGGCTGAGTCAGGAGGATCCCCTGAACCCAGGAGTTCCAGACCAGCCTGGGCAATATAGGGAGACCCCTGTCTCTACAAAATAATTTTTAAAAAAGTAGCTGGGTTTGGTGGTATGCACCTGTGGTCCCAGCTAATAGGAGGCCAGGGTAGGAGGATCACTTGAGCCCTGGAGATATTGAGCATGATTGTGCCACTGTACTCCAGCCTGGGTGACAGAGCAAGATCCTGTCTCAAAGAAAAGGAAAAAAAAGAAAAGTAAGAAAGGAAGGAAGGAAAGAAGAAAATGATATATTGCTATTGCCTTCTGAGAATTTGTGATCTTGGGAGAAACATGACCCAGTCATCTGAGGGAGAGACTTGAGACTGGTGTCTCCATGACGATAGCATAGACATTAAGCTGTGGTAAGAAGCAGGAATGCCATGTGGTTCAGGAAAGAGCTCAGAGAGGGGCTGGATGGGGTATTTAGAGAAGGTTTTACAGAGGAAGAGGAAGCGGGGGCTGAACTAGACCTTGAAAATGGGAGTGGCTGTTGGCTATGGCAGGAAGAGGAGGGGAGGACATTTCTTTTATGTGTATGTCTGGTATGAATAAGAGAGAGAGTCTGGCTGAAGGAGAGAGTGCAAAATGGGTAGGAGTAATTGGAGTTGGCCTAGAGGATGGGCCCAAAAGATTTTGTAATAAGATTTGAGGTGCACATAAAAGTTCTATTTTTGGATGCTAGAGGCAGTACTTACAGATGTCACTGTGTTCCTTCCTACTGGATATTGCTCTTATGTCCTCCCCATGGATCAGAGCAGTCATTGTTTAGCAGGAGCAAGGTGCTGGGACTCTCAGCACAGGGCCCAGATGTCACTGAGGTGTGTCAGGAGTTAGAACTTAAGGCCACATGAGCCTAGGAAATGCTCAAGTGGGTGTACTTCTCCATGGACTCATTGAGAATTGGGAGGGATGGGTAGGAATGGGGGTGGCAGCAATCAGTGGACTTGGGAATATGAACTTAGAAATGGTAGTTAGCTTCTCTCAGCCTCGGTTTCCTCATCTATAAAATGAGAATAGGAATATCTGTATTTTGTGGTCATGAGAATTGATGGAGATATGTATGTGAAGTTGTCAGGCGTAGAACAGACTTTTTCTTTTTTCTTTTTCTTTCTTTCTTTCTTTCTTTTTTTTTTTTTTGAGACAGGGTCTTACTCTGTCATCCAGGCTGGAGTGCACGGCTCACTGCAGCCTCAACCTCCTAGGCTCAAGCAACCCTCCCACCTCAGCCTTCTGAGTAGCTGAGACAGCAGGTGTGCACCACCATGCCCAGCTAATTTTTGTATTTTTTGTAGTGACAGGATTTCTCCATGTTGCCCAGGCTGGTCTTGAGTTCTTGGGCTCAAGTGATCCATCTGCCTCCATTTCCCAAAGTGCTGGGATTACAGGTCTGAGCCACTGCACCTGACCTCTTTTTTACACTTACATGCAAAACACTGTCTCTCTAATTTCTTATGTAACCTGCCACCTGCATTCAAATTTACCTCACTTACTGATGAGTTTCTTTTGACCATGGAGAGGTTTTGTGTCTCTTGTGGTTTGAAACCTTGGGAGGCTGGGTGGGAAAGAGTGGGTGAAGTTACCTGTCTCTAGGCCTGGAGGGAATTTCCAGAAATGGTGCCGGCCATCAGGATGTATAAATATGTGTTCATGCATGCCTTTGTATCTTTGAACATTAGCAGTGATGGGACGTGCATGTGTGCTGTTAGCTGGGGCAGGTGCAGGTTGTCCCCTTGCTTGCCAGTTTGCCTTGTTCTGACTGGTCCATTGGCCCCTTTGCCTTAGACAGGAAGGGCAGAAAGTGGTGCTGTCTGTAAAGAGATGGGGCCCCTGTGCCCTCAACTCAACCCTGCCAGTGACTTTGTGGTTTTCCTCCTAGGTCTGCTGACATTTGTGAACTGTGCCTATGTCAAGTGGGGCACACGTGTGCAGGACGCGTTCACTTACGCCAAGGTCCTAGCGCTCATTGCCATCATTGTCATGGGCCTTGTTAAACTGTGCCAGGGTAAGTGGTGGGAACAGGGGTACCACCAAGAGTTCCTCTGGATTCCCTAAGGAGGACATGGGTACTCTGTTAGCTTCACTGCTTAGCTGATTCTATGTACATGCTAGCATGTGTCAGTGAGTGCAAGAGACGGAAGTAGATTTCTTTCTGGGCTTCTTGGGCCAGGCTGGCTTGGCCAAGTGGACATGAGTCAGCCTCTCCCTCAGGGCTGCTTTCCTTTTGTGGAGGCTGGGAGCATTGCAGGAAGCCAGCCAAGGGCCTAGGAGCTCCTGAAACTTGGGTCATGATTGGTCGTAAAAGTAATCTGTGGGGATAGAGTGGCTCCTATTTGTGGTCTGTGACTGCCAAGCTGCAAGTAGGAAGACTGGGCCCTTCCTGAGACAGCTAGCAGGGAGTGTGGAGCAGGAGGTAGGGTATGGAAATGGGTGGTTAGTTTGCAGCCTTTACTTTTCATCTGGACTTGTATTCAACATTCCCCCCATTCCAAAGTCAGCTCTCAGAAAAATATTAAAATATTGTGAAATTGGCAGTGTCTTTCCTGCATGTTGGCTTTAGAAAGCTTTTCGTTCCTGGATCAGAGAGGACTGGCAGTAAGGGTAATAGGCCTACCAATATGTCATGAGCCCTAGAGATGTCTTGAGGTGTCTTTAGCAAAAGCTACCTCAGTCATTTCATCAGTTCCTAAATGTGGCTATGTACAATCACCTCGGGAATTTTTTTTTTTTTTTTTTTTTTTTAGGAGACGGAGTTTCACTCATGTTACCCAGGCTGGAGTGCAATGGCGCGATCTCGGCTCACCGCAACGTCTGCCTCCTGGGTTCATGCAATTCTCCTGCCTCAGCCTCCTGAGTAGCTGGGATTACAGGCACGCACCACCATGCCCAGCTAATTTTTTGTATTTTTAGTAGACACGGGGTTTCACCATGTTGACCAGGATGGTCTCGATCTCTTGACCTCGTGATCCACCCGCGTCAGCCTCCCAAAGTGCTGGGATTACAGGCTTGAGCCACCGCGCCCGGCCGGGAATTGAGACCCTAATCTCAAATCTACTGGATCATATTCTGATTGGTTTGGAGTCTAAAAAGCTTTGCTTTTAAGAATTGCCCTTGGCCGAGCGCAGTGGCTCACGCCTGTAATCCCAGCACTTTGGGAGGCCGAGGCAGGTAGATCACGAGGTCAGGAGTTCAAGACCAGCCTGGCCAAGATGGTGAAACTTCGCCTCTACTAAAAATACAGAAATTAGGCGTGGTGGTGGGCGCCTGTAATCCCAGCTACTCGGGAGGTTGAGACAGAGAATTGCTTGAACCCAGGAGGCGGAGGTTGCGGTGAGCCAAGATTGTGACACTGCACTCCAGGCTGGGAGACAGAGTGAGACTCCATCAAAAAAAAAGAGTTGCCTTTGTTGGGCCCTGTGAGGTGGCTCACGCCTGTAATCCCAGCACTCTGGGAGGCTGAGGAAGGTGGATCACCTGAGGTCAGGAGTTTGAGACCAGACTGGCCAACATGGTGAAATCCCATCTCTTTTAAAAATACAAAAAATTAGTCAGGCATGGTGGTGGGCACCTGTAATCTCAGCTACTTGGGAGACTGAGGCAGGAGAATCACTTGAATTCTGGAGGTGGAGGTTGCAGTGAGCCGAGATGGTGTCACTACACTCCAGCCTGGGCAATAAGAGCAAAACTCCATCTCAAAAAAAAGAAAAAAAAAGAAAGGGAAAGAAGAGAAAAACAGGATTGCACTAGTTGATTCTCAGGCTGCTGGTTTAGCCCCTGTGTGTACTTATATCAAGTTAGTAGAGCTAGCCACGTGGATGTTCCCAGAGGCTCGGGAGCATCTTGGGGTCAAATTGGGTTTTGAGTAATCCTCCCTGAAGATCTGTTCCTTAGGGAATCACTGCTGTGTATGAGGATGGAAACCCCTGAGGACAGGGGGTGTCTATTTTCCCTTCTCTTGTTGCATACCCAGCTCTTTTTACCACATGAGAGCTGGGTCTAGGCTTTCTTCAGAGTGTGACAATGGGATTCCTTAGAAGTCTGGGTCTTGTTAAAAACCCCAGTGTGTCCACAAGGTCTCTGTCCTGGGTAGCTGGGTGCTGTCCCCTGGCCTTTTAGGTCTGCAGTCTCTGAGGCCTCTGAGAAGAATAACAAGTATCTGGGCCTGGGCTGGCTCCCCAAAGGGTGGGGGTGGCCCAGGCCTAGTGAAAGATAAAGTTCCTCTATAGCGTGTGATCTCCTCCATGCAACCACAGCCACTGCAAGTAAAGCAGCAGAGCGTCCATCCCACAAGGCCGATAAACCCATTTGACCAAATTGTACAGTAATCTGGCCCAAGAGAGGTACTTCACAGGAAGGTCTAATTTTCTTTTTTTTTTTTTTTTGAGACGGAGTTTCGCTCTTATTACCCAGGCTGGAGTGCAATGGCGCGATCTCGGCTCACCGCAACCTCCGCCTCCTGGGTTCAGGCAATTCTCCTGCCTCAGCCTCCTGAGTAACTGGGACTACAGGCACGCGCCACCATGCCCAGCTAATTTTTTGTATTTTTAGCAGAGACGGGGTTTCACCATGTTGACCAGGATGGTCTCGATCTCTTGACCTCGTGATCCACCCGCCTCGGCCTCCCAAAGTGCTGGGATTACAGGCTTGAGCCACCGCGCCCGGCCTAGGAGGGTCTAATCTTCAATGAAAAATGACTCCTTCATGTGAAAGAGTGTTCTTTATAAAAATAGGTAGAAGAACTGGGGCTTGCTGTGAGATCACTTGCGGGAAATGGAAATTCTTTAAGGTTTTGGAATAAGTATTGTCACATCAGAGGGTGGCCAGGAATGTCTTTGATTTTTCATTGTCTAGTTTTATTAAAGGAATGTGAACTTTTCTGAGGAAGTGGGTGGGGTGGTAAAGTGCAGGGAGCTAGTGGTTGTTGATCTTTTGGTGTTAAATTATGTTTTTTTTTTTCTTTCCCCTGCCTTCTTGTTTTTTCTTCCTTTTCTTGTTCCTCCTCATCCCTCCTTTTTTTCATCTTCCCTTCCTCTTTCCTATTTTCCTTTTGTACCTTTCTCTTACACCTCCCATCTCCTCCTCCTTTCTCCTTTGACCTGTTCCCTCTCCCTGAACCCCGCACCTGCCTTTGCCCCCATAGGACACTCTGAGCACTTTCAGGATGCCTTTGAGGGTTCCTCCTGGGACATGGGAAACCTCTCTCTTGCCCTCTACTCTGCCCTCTTCTCTTACTCAGGTTGGGACACCCTTAATTTTGTAACAGAAGAAATCAAAAACCCAGAAAGGTAAAGGCCGGATCACACTCTCACTCCCCAGCTTGGCTGGAACTCCTGCTGATAGTGGGTGTGCCTGCCCTCATCCTTCTCCTTCTCCCTCCATCTCTCTTCCCCCTTCTCCCTAGTCCGCCTTCTCCAGCTAGGTGGGGCTGAGGGCTAGAATGTGAGTGAGTGAAGGTGGGAAAGCCCCTTGGTTTCCTGTCCTCATGTTCGCACTGGAGGATATACAGGGTCCTTCCTAGAGGAGAGGCCCTTCAGTGGGGAGGAGCAGGCCCAGCTGGGGCTAAGGGATTAGGACCTTGCACTCTGCTGCTGACATTATAGCCCACAGAACCAAAACTTACTCTGGCCAGCTGGGTCCCCAGCCTGGCCTCTAGTCCCCAGAGGACACTGTCCCTCTGAGATCATAGATGCAGGAGGATTATGAAATGCAGTGGGACCCATTGGCCCTACTGTGGCAAAGATCAAATATTGATCGTGAGCTATCTTCACAGAGAAAGTTCTCTGTCTTTCTCAGTAGAAAGAGCTCAGGGTGAAGGGGAAGGTGAGCCTGCCTCAAAGACTTGGAGGCCAGTGAATTGTTAAATGTTAGGACAATCCCAGTGGAAACTTGATAAACTTTGTTCCCAAGGAGAGGTTGGTTCTAGATAGTTCTTTCTCATTTGTCCTGACAGAAATTTGCCCTTGGCCATTGGGATATCTATGCCAATTGTGACGCTCATCTACATCCTGACCAATGTGGCCTATTACACAGTGCTGAACATTTCAGATGTCCTTAGCAGTGATGCTGTGGCTGTGGTGAGTCTCTTTGGGTCCCCATTTGTTCATCATCTCATGATATGGAGCCACCCTGCACAGCTCAGTCTCTCTTCCTGCACCCTCCTCAGCTCTGCAGGATGAGGTCACGAGTCTAGGCCAGAGGGTGGGTGGGCTGCTTAGCAGTGATTGCATTTGTTCCAAGGTCACAGATGCAGGAGGATTATGAAACCCTGTCCTGCTTAAGTGCCTCTTCTGTGCCCTGCCCACAGACATTTGCTGACCAGACATTTGGCATGTTCAGCTGGATCATCCCCATTGCTGTTGCCCTATCCTGCTTTGGGGGCCTCAATGCATCGATCTTTGCTTCATCAAGGTACCGTGTCTCTGTGTCACTACTAATAGATCACAATATTTCATTCTCTGGGGCTTAGGCGTAAGAGCTCCTTTTTTCCTTCCTTCTTCTCATGGGCGTACGGGGTGTGTGTGTGTGTGTGTGTGTGTGTGTGTGTGTGTGTGTGTGTGTGTGTGTGTGTGCATGTACTTGCCTTTGTGCAAGTAGCACATTTATATGCTGGTAGCTCATGTTTCTGTCTGAGATGAGGACAAATTGTATGCTGATAGCTCATGTTTATGTGCTGGCAGCTCATGTTTATATATTGGTAGCTCATGTTTCCATCTGAGATGAGAACAGATTGATGAAAGGTATAGGGGAGAAAGGCAATAGCTTGGAGGGGTGACTCCAGCAGGGACTAGATTCTAGGCTCCTTGTGGGTTATGCTGTAGCCCCAGGATTCATTCCTTCAGTAAATAATAACAGCACTTGCTGTGTACCAGGTATTGGTACTATGTACAGAAAGACTTTCCCCCTCACTTCACAGAAAATGCCAAGGCCATCAGGTTGCCTGATCTCCTCTCTGTGCAAACTTATCATTAAGCACGCTGAACCGTCCTATTGTTGCAGAGGAAGAAGCAGGTGTGCTTCTCCTGGAAGTCTCTGCTACCTGGGCTCAGGGTTTCAGCACTTCTGCTCTTCTTCAGCAGTTTGCTGTATCAGTTGGCCCTTCTCTTTGGCAGGTGCTTTCTTTTTTTTTTTTTGAGACGGAGTTTCGCTTTTGTTACCCAGGCTGGAGTGCAATGGTGCGATCTCGGCTCGCCGCAACCTCCGTCTCCTGGGTTCAGGCAGTTCTCCTGCCTCAGCCTCCTGAGTAGCTGGGATTACAGGCACGTGCCACCATGCCCAGCTAATTTTTTGTATTTTTAGTAGACACGGGGTTTCACCATGTTGACCAGGATGGTCTCGATCTCTTGACCTCGTGATCCACCCGCCTCGGCCTCCCAAAGTTCTGGGATTACAGGCTTGAGCCACCGTGCCCGGCCGGCAGGTGCTTTCTTGGAGCCAGCTCTCCATGAGCTTCTCTCCTCTCTACTCAGGAGAGTCACAAAATAGCTTTTCCCATCTCCCCTCTTCCCACTTACTGGATGCACTTCTTTTTATTTTTAAATTAATTCTTTTTAGAGATTGGGGTCTCACTATGTTGCCTAGGCTGGTCTCAAACTCCTGGCCTCAAGTGATCTCCCACCTTAGCCTCCTGAGGAGCTGGGATTAAAGGCATGCACCACCATGCCTGGCGCTGGATGCACCTGTGAGACAGCAGTCTGTACTTCACCTTTCATTCATTTTCCCATCTGTTACAGTTTGGCTTCTATTATCTGAAAAATATTCTTCTTAAGACTCTCTCTTTCTTAGCCTGTCTTTAGTCTTCATCCTATTGGACCTTTGAAGCAAGTGCTGCTGATCACTTTCCAAGTCTGAAATGATTTCTATGGCTTCTGTGACATAGATAACCTAAGAAAGTTTCTTTCCTGATTTCTCTTCCACTCACCCTATAACTGGTGTCCCCAGGACCAGGGGTATAATAGTCATCCAATAAATATTTGCCACATGAACACATAGAAGGATTAAAAATAAAAGAAATAGTTTTGTCCCATTCATTCTTTTAACTGGTTTTCACACACCAGTGCATGTATTGTGCCTCCCTGGGGCAACCAAAGAATTAGAGAAGTCAAGGCCTTGTAAAAGAACATAGTGTCACTGGGCACGGTGGCTCATGCCTGTAATTCCAGCACTTTGGGAGGCCAAGGCGGGAGGGTCACCTGAGGACAGGAGTTTGAAACCAGCTTGGCCAGTATGATGAAACCCTGTCTCTACTAAAAATACACACACAAAAAAATTTAGCTGGGTGTGGTGTCATGTGCTTGTAGTCCCAGCCACTTGGGAGGCCGAGACAAGAGAATTGTTTGAACCCAGGAGGCAGAGGTTGCAGTGAGCTGAGATTGTGCCACTGCACTCCAGCCTGGGTGACAGCAAGACTCTGTCTCAAAAAGAGAAAAGTAGTGTCATCTTCCCTCTGTTCAGCCTAGTTGCGATAGACTTCTTGTCTAGCCTTTGGCCTCCATAGTCTGGTGTCAGATCCTGTCAAGCCCTTACCTTAAAGCCACAGCTAGCTCTCAGTGTTTGTTCAGACTCCACAGCATGGCCATGTATGCAGGTTCTTCCCAGCACCCTCTTCTCACACAGCTTGTCCTAGTGCTCTAGGCATTTTACATCAACCTCCAATGAGGCCACGCTCTTTCATGCCTCCACACAGTTTTCCTTTGTACATGCTTATTTTTTCCATCTACAGACTTGCTTCTGGCAACTCATCTTTGCATCTCTTCTCTTACAAAGCATTGTGGTCCCCCAACCTGCCCTCAAGCCTAGCGAGTAAGTGCCATGTACTCCCAAGATGATGCTGACCACACTGGGTGGGGGTTCATTTCTGTGCCAGTCTTTTTCCCAGTTGGTAGAGCTCTTTAGGTGTAGAAAGGAAGCCTGGGTTGTCTCTTTGACCCTCAGTCTTGCCCTGGCCTATCATACATCAGTTCAGGGAAGATATATAGAGGGCATGAATGGAAATCTAGCTGTCCTTTAAAAGCCATTATGTTAGCTATGAATCTGTGGCATGGTTTGGGTGAATCTGTTTGTGGGTGACAGCAGGATGAGGCATCCGTTGGATGTTGGTGAGGCATCTGTGGTTGAGAGAAGATGTCTGGGTGATGGTGGGTTCGCCTTGGGTGGTCAGTGGATAATGGTGGGTGGGGCATGTGGGTAGTGGTGAGGTGCCCGGGGATGAAGAGGGAGGGAAAGTCTGTGGAAAAGTGGGGAGCGGGGAGGTTGGACTGGTGATACACTAAGGATCTGAGATGCTCCTGGGAGGCTGCATCCTGCTTTCCTTAGGGGCTCTAAGCCAAGTTTGTCCACATGAGGAGCATGGCCGTATAGCTGAGTAAAAGGATCTGCTGACACATTTCTCTTCCTTCTAGGTTGTTCTTCGTGGGCTCCCGTGAGGGCCACCTCCCGGACCTTCTGTCCATGATCCACATTGAACGTTTTACACCTATCCCTGCTTTATTGTTCAATGTAAGCTTTGTTGGGGACCACGGGGCTCAGACGGATCTGTGCATTGCTTCTTCTGGTTTGTGCTAAGTTGTTATATAAGAAGGATTCTGAGAAAGGCCTTACTCTAAGATTTAAAAAACAGTTCATTTTTTGTTGTCATTTAGTTCTTTTATGGTTTTAAGTGTAAATTTTGGATTTATCTGGAATTTATATTATAGCATAGTATTGAGAAAGATGGAGATTAACTTTTTCTCAAATGGCAGCCAGCTATACCAATATCATTTATTGAGTAATCCATTTTTCTATAGTTTTCAAACTTTTATCATAGAAAAGTAATAATATCTAATTTTTTAGGGTGCTCAATACGTGCCAATTATAATTGTATGCTCCTTAAATGTATAATCTCAGCTAATCCTCCCAATCAGCACCAAGCCTCCTTAGTTTAGCTTTATACTGACTATCTGAAAACTAAGAGGGACCAAAGGTACTTTTTTTTTTTTTTTTTTGAGATGGAGTTTCACTCTTGTTACCCAGGCTGGAGTGCAATGGTGCGATCTCGGCTCACCGCAACCTCCGCCTCCTGGGTTCAGGCAATTCTCCTGCCTCAACCTCCTGAGTAGCTGGGATTACAGGCACGCGCCACCATGCCCAGCTAATGTTTTGTATTTTTAGTAGAGACGGGGTTTCACCATGTTGACCAGGATGGTCTTGATCTCTTGACCTCGTGATCCACCCGCCTCGGCCTCCCAAAGTGCTGGGATTACAGGCTTGAGCCACCGCGCCCGGCCCAAAGGTACTTCTTTAGTCCTCCCGCCCTTGGAATTTTCCCATTTGTTTGTCTTGATGAACTTTTCTATCATTTCATCAAAATAACAGAAAAAACCCTCATGATATTTTGATAGGGCCAGCATTGAATTTATAAGTTTAAGAGGTTATCTGACTACAGGCATGTACTACCAAGGCTGGCTAATTTATAATGGTGTCACTATGTTGACAGATGAGGTCTCACTATGTTGCCTAGGCTGGTCTTGAGCTCCTGGGCTCCAGTGAGCTGCCACTTCGGTCTCCCAAAGTTCTGGGATTACAGGCACTAGCCACCATGCCCAGCCTTCTCTTCTCAATATAGGGTCCTCCCTTATCTCCACAGAAGGGGCTCTTTTTGTTTTAAATCCTTTGTTGATAATTTTAATGAAAAGATTATTGAAATTTAAACACATTTGACCTTGTCCCAGGACTCTAGGCCCTGATCCTTGTCTTCTAGGATTCTTTTGTTCCAGAGGCTAATTCTATCATATATCTGAATGGATCTATTTTGCTAGTTTCCAGGTTCAACACCTGACTTTAGAGGCCTGAAACGCTACAATTTCTTCCTCTGGCTCAAAATTCGTCCCTGGGGAGAGAGTTACAGCCTATTATTTATTGACATTATTTAGTCCAGATGGATATGGATCCATTTTGCTAGTTAGTATTTCTCAGGCCCCAGGACAGTGAGATGGTTCTGAAGGTGTTTGCCTCATTTGTATGCCAGGAGTTGGGACCCAGGTCTGAGCCCTCTCTAGGACACAGTGTGATCCATGTTAAGGTTGGTGCACTGAAGAGGGCCTCAGCGCCTGCTTTTCTAGAGTGCTTGCAACCAGGGGGAGGCATTGTGCGGAGGAAGGGCTGCAACAGAAGCGGAAAGATGCTACCTTGAGGGTTAATGGACCTCAAGGTCCATCAAGGAATGGACTTATCTGATGCTAAGGGGTCAATGAAAAGAGCCAAAGGTAATCTGGTGAAGTGGCATCAGATCTAGCACTGACTGCTCGGTGGGGGAGTCTCCTGGGGGTGCAAGTGGTGATGATGCTCCCTGCCTCCTGACCCCTTTCCCGCAGTGTACCATGACACTCATCTACCTCATCGTGGAGGATGTTTTCCAGCTCATCAACTACTTCAGCTTCAGCTACTGGTTCTTCGTGGGCCTGTCTGTTGTTGGACAGCTGTACCTTCGCTGGAAGGAGCCTGAGCGGCCCCGCCCTCTCAAGGTCAGCAGCTGTGGGCAGACTAGGAGGGGTGGGACATCCCTAAGGTGCCTTCTTGCCCATGACTTGTTTCCTCTTCCCATGTTACTTAGTATGTCACCCCCTCTATTTCAGCTGAGCCTGTTTTTCCCCATCGTGTTCTGCATATGCTCCGTATTTCTGGTGATAGTGCCCCTCTTCAGTGACACCATTAATTCCCTCATTGGCATTGGGATTGCCCTTTCTGGACTCCCTTTCTACTTCCTGGGTGTTTACCTGCCAGAGTCCCGGAGGCCACTGTTTATTCGGAATGTCCTGGGTGAGCTTCTCTTCGCCACTTAACTAACTGGCGACTGTGTGTACATGTGCATGCAAAGGTGGGGGATGGCTAACAGCTTTCCCATACTCAGAATTTGCTGGAGGCCATGAGACCCAGCTGTTCATGACTTCCCTTTTGATTTTGATACAATCACTTCAGTTCTAATTTTAGTGTCCTATTTTGGGGCTAAAACATTATCTCCCTGACAACACAAGTCACCTGGAAAGATGGGCCATGCATCAGACTCTGGTTGGGCATGGGACAGAGGATGATGAGGCTTATTGGGAGAGAAGGCCAAAACCTGGTACAGGGTACCCAAGGGGCAGGTGGGAGGGAGCATTAGATGTTACTAGTCAGCCTTGTGTTCAGGTTGGGGCTGTAGCTAGATGTTTACTAAATCCTGTGCTTCTCTATTTTCATTTAGCTGCTATCACCAGAAACACCCAGCAGCTTTGCTTTTGTGTCCTGACTGAGCTTGATGTAGCTGAAGAGGAAAAGGCTGAGAGGAAAACTGACTAGAGGTCAGAGGTAGCTCTCCGAGGGCCACCTATGGCCACAGCCACCAAAATCCTGATAACAAGACTCTGTGGGCTCAACTCTCCTGAATTAAAGGAGCCTTTGACCCACATCATATAACCGGGCTCAGGGCCAGTGCTCGCTCTTATTGGTAAGCTATAGGAGACTCAGGATCTGGGCCAACCTCAAGGTGGGGACTTCAGAGGGTGGGGGAAGATCGGGGAACAGGGGAATGGTCATTTAGTTTTACTCCAGATGGGTAGATGCAGCTCTTACAGATATTTACTTGGTAAGGTGCAGTGGGGAAGAGGGAATGCTAGGTTGATAGAACTGGTGGCTTCTGAATTTGGTATTTGAGATTTGAAGTAGGAGTCCCTATAGAGGCGCTGCTTTACAGGAAGTTTTCCTCTGACCAGGTCCAACACCTGACTTTAAAGGCCTGAAATTTAAATTTTGAGCCATTTCTTCCTCTGGCTCAAAATTCTTCCCTGGGGAGAGCGTTATATTCCATTATTTATTGATATTTAGTCCAGAACACCAGTTCTAATGAAGCATGAGTGTCTTTTCATCTATAGGATGCCATAGGCTGATTATATTTAAAATTCAAAGCACCCAAAACTGAGTCCCTCTGTTCTCAGAAATGTTTGTGGTGTTGGATCAGAATCTGACCACAATTTTATGCCGTTTAGCACAATCTTCTATTGAGTCTTACCTGCAACAATGAAATTTAAAGATTTTTTTACTCATGTACCAGTTATACTTTAGTATATAAGTAGGTCACATAAGTACCTGGCTCAGGTCCAGCAAGGACAGATGAACAAATTCATGAGTCAGTAGTCTGTTAATACTGCTGTTTTTGAAGGATAATCCTTTATTTTGCTTAAGACCTTGTGTCTTTTTTCTAGCTGATAGTAAATCTCTGGGTTTCTGTTACAAACTTTAAGAGGGCTGAAACTTATGGAATTCAGGTGGATCGCCTGAATTCTTTCAGCTGTCAATGGCTTGGAGAACATCTCATGGGCTCAAGTCATCAAATAACCTGTTCCTCTCTGTAAAGGCAGTGTAAGGGACTGCTGTGCAGACCCAAGCAAGCCCACCCTGGTGCTAGGTCATTTTTCTGAAAACCTCACATCAGGCTGCATCCTCCTCTTCTGTCCCTGGCACCAGGCTTTGTTTACACTTGGAGCCGCCTTGGTGTGGGTCACCAGGACAGTGCACCCCTCTCCTGCTAGCCTCCCTTTCCCCAAGGTGTGGTGGGCTGCAGTCTCAGGAAGAGCTTGGTATTTGTGGGGACTTCTGTTTTCTCCCTGTGGAGATCAGTGAAGACTGGGAGGAAAGCTGCTTCAACCTCAGTCTGGCTCCTCAGCAGGCCGCACAAGTGCAGGCAACTAATTCTGGTGCTCAGGCTGGGCTCTCCACCCAAGTCAGGCCTGCTCTGGCCTAATGGATCTTACTCTATGAGCAGTACAGCTGCAATGGATTGTACAACTGTTTTGTGATGCTGCCAGACACTGTCATCCTGGGCCCAGAAGCACCTGCTAGCTTGACACACCTCATGGGCTTCTTATCCTTAGGTTTTAGAATTGGTCAACAGTGAGGCAGTCTCCCTTTCTGACCATTCTTCTCCACCCAGTCACAGATAAGGGAATAACCTTGGACACATATTTGCTCAATAAAGATTGAAGGAAGCATGGTCACAGTTGCCTTGGGTTCAGAGCATAATGCCTATGTGAAGCATGGGGTGACATTGTTACTGTCATGGGTTCAGGATTTGTACGGCAAATTCCTGCCTGGCAACAGGGTGTCTTGTGCAAAGGCTGACTTACCTAAACTCTAAGAACATGACTTCTGTCTAAGCCAAGCTGGCACCCATCCCGGGACTCCTCTGGAGCTAATCCTTTAAGCAAAGTATGCCTGCCTTAAAGATCCCTGACCCTGGCTTTAGCATTCCCCACCAGATAACCAGCTAATCCCAGGAATTTGCTGCCCCCCAGAGGCTTCTAGGAAAAGCAAGGACCTTACACGCCAGGTGCCCTAGTACTTGCTTAGTGAGCCATGTCATCATCCTTTCATTTTTGGATGGTGACAGCATTCTTCCTCTCTGTGCTGGATGCAGACTTATCTCAGGATCCTCTTTTTGGGAGTGAAGCCAGAGACTCCCTACAGCACTCAAACTTCATGGTGGAATTAATTTCTGCCAGCTCTTTGTTGTCTGTCTCCTTAAATCCTTCTCCTGGTGTGCTTATCCCTTTTGCATTGAGTACAGTTTATTAAGTTGTCGGCCCTTTAATGTTGGTAAAACTTAATCAGTACATAAATGGCAGTGAGCACATTGTAATGGCACAGTGTTTTTTTTTTTCACCTGGTTGCTCTGAGTGTAAGAATGGTTTTCAATCCTGTTTCTATGCCTACAGACGGAAAGCAAGATGTCTAATATGAGACATACAAGTTGCTGCCTGTTATAATGTTGAATTACTCCTTTGTGCCTACCTAGGATGTTTGTTTTAATGAGTTGCAATATATAGGGCCTGAGTACACAGAATTTAATCACTTTGGCAGGTTTAACAACTCCATGTAGGTAAGAACTAGGGTAGGTAAAGGCTTAGGAAATGGCCATTAAGTCAAAGAATGATAGCAGGTAGGAGGGAGAAGAGATACTTAGGAAATCTTAAAAGAGGTGGCAAGAAGACATCTCCCTGTGTAACTCACCTTCCCCCATGATAGTGAGTCAGAGACACCGTCACAGGCTATGAGGGCACACCCCTAACTGAATGTTCTGCGTTGTTTCCTTAGACCTGTACTGTCCCGCTACAACAGCTACTAGCCACATGTAGCTAATTACATTAAAATGAAATAAAATTGGCCGGGCGCGGTGGCTCAAGCCTGTAATCCCAGCACTTTGGGAGGCCGAGGCGGGTGGATCACGAGGTCAAGAAATCGAGACCATCCTGGTCAACATGGTGAAACCCCGTCTCTACTAAAAATACAAAAAATTAGCTGGGCATGGTGGTGCATGCCTGTAGTCCCAGCTGCTCAGGAGGCTGAGGCAGGAGAATTGCCTGAACCCAGGAGGCGGAGGTTGCGGTGAGCCGAGATCGCGCCATTGCGCTCCAGCCTGGGAAACAAGAGCGAAACTCCGTCTCAAAAAAAAAAAAAAAAAAAAAAAAAAAGAAAGAAATAAAATTAAAAGCCCAGTTTCTCAGTTGCGCTAATCACATTTGAAGTGCTCAGCAGCCACCTGTGTCTGTTACTACACAGTGCAGACACAGAACATATTGTCACTACAGATAGCTCTATGCTAGAATAAACACCAAGGCAGTCAGTGAATGCAGCTGTGGTTTGGAAAGGCATAGGGACAGAGTTTGCTTAGAAGAGATACAGTTGTAACAAAATTGAGCCTGTTGATAGTAGTTTGTGTTCCTGGTGAGTGCTGTGAAGAGTAAACATTACTCAGTGGAAAGCTGAGTTCAAAAGGTGCTTTGTTTTTCCTCCCTTAAGTCCTTAGTATCTATAATCAATGCTGAAACTTCTGTCTCACTACCCCTCCCTCCCTGTTTTAGATATTCAGATTTAAAGGTTTTAAAATAATTACTTTCTTCCATGTTCAAAGCTTTTACTAAACACATGTATCACATTCATACATATGCTGTTTCTTGGCACCACTGCCAAAGGAAGTCAGTAATTTCGCAACCATTATCAGAGTTTGGAAGCAGAGATGGTTGGTATATAAAATCTCCCACAGCTCAGACAGACTACTTTCTGCCCTAATGGCCATTTTACTATCCAGTCTCTATTGCTACAAGGGACCCACTGGTACCCCTCTTAGATGCCATCTATCCAAAGGAACAGGGTTTTCTTAGAGGCAGGCAGCCTGGTGGTATGGCAAGGCAGAAACTTGCTGCTAATGAAATGGGAACCTCTCTTTCCCTTGTGGTTTCAGCACAGGAGAACCTGACCTGAATTCCAGGAAAATGCCTGGGCCAGGAAGCTAAAGGAACCTTCCTTTTTATAACATTTTTTTTTTCTTTCAAACTGTAGGGTTACTTTTGATGAGGCCAAGGGGCCCTACTGTAAGTGGAAAAGACACACTCCCTTAACAAAAGTTTTCACTGTGTTGGGATGGTGCTGCCCAACATGCTTGATATGCTTTTCTTCCACATGTTAAGCTGGGAAACCTAAGAGGATGTCAGCAGGGCAGTTTACCCTGGACTCAGAGCCCTCACGGGCTTGTGGCAGAACCTCATGGACATCACAAGACCATCAGTCTGAATCCAGGTCATGGAGGTTGTCATAGTCGAACTCCTTCTGCACATCCAGAGGGTACTTGTGCCACATCCGCTGTCTGCTGCTGCCTCTTTCCTCCTCACTCAGGCTGTTGTAGTCAGCAGAGCCTGGAATGAGATCCCGGGAATGGAATCTAAATGTGATTTTCCTTGGCTACCGCAGGAGCCCCTTCTCTTCTCAGAAAGGTCTTTGTTCCCAATTGTAATACAAACTACTTGCTCAATAAAGAAAATAAAGAGTATAGAATTTTTTTTTAAAGCACTTACTTTCTTATCATCATCTAAACCAAGTCCCTTCAATACTCCCTGGAGTATTTCATCACTTCTCCGCTCAGTATAGGATTTTTTTGTTGTTGTAAGATTTGTAGTCGTATTGTAAATATTTCTGTACTTTCCCCTCTTAACGCATTATTGACAAACCTCCCCAATAGAACATTCAATTGTTTGATTAATTTCTCTGTTATCAGAAACTAATACATTGTTTTTGTTAGCCCTTCTTCTCTCTTCTTCTGACACGGGTATCACAGGAGCTGTGTTGTCAGGGCATCTTTCTTCGAAAGACCCAGGTACTATGTCTTTCTTACAACAGTTGTACATGCAGCAGTTTTTTGAGAAGTTAGATAACTGATTTCTGAAAACGCTGGGCTTACTTCTACTGGCAAACCTCTCTCTTCATTGGTTTCTTGAGGAGCAGGGAAAGAGACAATGAGCTACATATTGTACATAATGCCAACCACTAAAATTCATGCAGTACCATCTCATCTCGAGAGAGAATGAGGCTCAGTGAGGTGAAGTACTGCCCAAGACCCACAGCAAAGTAATGACAACTACAGATTTGAACCCAGGCCTGATGGATTATTAGGATTATTACACCCCCAGGAGGCCCATGGGAAACACTGGTCTTTGGGCCTCCTACAGCATGAGTTGCGGTTGGGCTGTTGGAGCTCAATGGCAGAGAAGGAAAGGCTACCTGTCAACCATGCCTGCACCTCAGTCTCGGATCTTACCAGTCCCTCCCTGTCCAGAGCTGCCACTCACCTCTGGAATCCTCATCTCCATCACTGCTCTCCTCCTCTGGGTACTCATTGCGCCAGTTATTCTCACTGTTCTCGTCATCTTCATCTTCGTACATGTCCTCTGGTTCTTGATCATCATTCACCTACACATCTCGACACAAACATGAGTCCAAGTCAGAACCTGTAAGGTTATGCTCTGGGGGAAGCTGTAAGCATACCAGCTTGGAGAGATGTCATGTAAAAGTGCCAGGTGAAAAAACTGCTGAGGCAAAGTAGGAGTTAGTTTGACTCTGTTGTACATGAGGCTATGAGGGAGATAACAGCCCCCTTCCACTCAGAGTCCAGCTCCAGAATGGCAGGACAGGCTGAACTCCATGAGAAGGGAACATAGGGAAAACAGGAGTGATGGCTCTAAGCGACTCTTTCAAATTCCAAGGTCAAAACCAAAACCCAAGCATAAGAGGTACAGAAAGGCAGGAGGAAGGGCCATGCAGTGGTCCCAGGTGGGTACGTGACTGCAAATCTGTGTCCCAATACAGGTGCAGGATACAGTGCTTCTCAATTACAGTCTTAGCATGATAGTTAGACTCCACCTTAACTTTTCTTGTTAATCATTTTAGAATTTAAGATAGGCCAGGTGTGGTGGCTCATGCCTGCAATCCCAGCACTTTGGGAGGCCAAGGTGGGAAGATCACTTGAGGTTAGAAGTTTGAGACCAGCCTGGCCAACATGGTAAAACCCTATCTCTACTAAAAATACAAAAATTAGCCAGGCGTGGTGGTGGGCACCTGTAATCCCAGCTACTTGGGAGGCTGAGGCAGGAGAATTGCTTGAACCCAGGAGGTGGAGGTTGCAGTGAGCCAAGATTGCACCGCTGCACTCCAGCCTAGGTGGCAGAGCAAGACTCCGTCTCAAAAAAAAAAAAAGAAAAAGAAAAAAAAAGATAATGGTGTCAGCTAGGTGTGGTGGAACACAGTGGATCATGCCTGTAATCCTAGCACTTTGGGAGGCCAAGGTGGAGGATCACTTGGGTGTAGAGCGTGGACAACATAATGAGACCCTCTCTCTACAAAACAAAAATTAGGGCATCATGGTGCATGCCTGTACTCCTGGCTGGCTACTTGGGAGGCTGAGATGGGAGGATAGCTTGAGCCTGGGAGAAAGAGGCTGCAGTGAGCTCAGCACCACTGCACTCCAGCTTGGGCAACAGAGCAAGACCTTGTCTCAGAAAAGAAAATATTAGTGTCAGGACGTTAGCTTTCTTCATCCAAGGTTTTCTCTACTTCTGAGATACAAATTAAAAAATAGGTTTTGTTGTCATTCACATCAAGACTTTCTGGTTTCATCTTGTCTTGATCTTATCATAAGCCTCATACACATACCTCCCCCCAAGAGTGGATAGCTATAAACAATAAAGATGTTGCAAACCTTGTAAAAGATTCATTAATGTAAAAATTATCAATCTAAGATGATCTTTCCCCAAATTTCCCATGCTATAGTCAGGTTCCTAAAAGGCATTTAGACTAAATTTTTCCTTTTAAGGAGGAAAAGAACTAAGGACAATGATGATCAGGAGTGGAGCCCAGGGAAGCAAAGCATTCTGATTAGAGAAAGAGTTTAGGATGCCTCGTGCCCTCTCCTCATGGGCCCCCTTACCAGCTCCCACTCTTGGCTATAGGGCTGCACGGAGAGGATGTTCTCAATCCAGCCTGGAGTGGCCGTCTCCAAGTAGTAAATGTCATATACATAGTCATGTTTTTGTTCTTCCTGGTGCCTGACTCCTGGTCCGTCCTCAGATACAGTCAATCGCTCACGGATCAACTCTACAGAATTGCAGAGTATCACATCTGAGTCAGATGTCTGTAAAGAAACCACAGATTACACATGCATGACCCAAAACATCATGTTCCATGAGGAGGAACCTAAAAGTTGGGTGAAGAAAGACTCGCTTAGACAGGGTCTCGGTCTGTCGCCCAGGGCTGGTGTGCAGTGGTGCGATCTTGGCTCACTGCAATCTCTACCTCCCAGATTCAAGCAATTCTCCTGCCTCAGCCTCCTGAGTAGCTGGGATTACAGGCACGTGCCACCATGCCCAGCTAATTTTTTGTGTTTTTAGTAGAGACGGGGTTTCACCATGTTGACCAGGATGGTCTCGATCTCTTGACCTCGTGATCCACCCGCCTCGGCCTCCCAAAGTGCTGGGATTACAGGCTTGAGCCACCGCGCCCGGCCCTACTGTATAGTTCTTATTTTGAGATTGAAACCTACAAGTTCACCTCCTACTCTTTTGTGCTTGGCTCTCATGCCTATAATCCCAACGCTTTGGGAAGCCAAGGTGGATTGCTTGAGCCCAGAAACTCAAGACCAGCCTGGGCAACATGGCAAAACTTCCGCCTCTACAAAGAAACACAAAAATTAGCTGATTGTGGTGGTGTGTGCCTGTAGTCCCAGGTACTCTGGAGGTTGAGGCTGAAGTGACCCGTGATCATGCTACTGTATACTCCATCCTGAGTGAAAGAGTGAGACCTGTCTCAAAACCATGAAAGAAAAAAAAATTGGGGAAGATGGGCCTACCTAGAAGAGGGAAAAGACAGAAGACCTGGCTTGTCCTGACCCCAAGCTCTAAGTCAGACCTGCCTCTATAGGTCCTGTGAGTTCCTTTGGTATTCTACAATGTTCTATCTTTGGGGATCAGCAGGCTCACAGTAGCACCCCTATGAATGAACCTGAAATGGGTCTGTATTTTGTGTGGCCTCCTGTAGAAGCCAACAGGTATTTCCTGATAACCTCTACCACTGCCCATCATTTGGCTTGCCATATACTGACATCCTTTTTTTTTTTGAGACGGAGTTTCGCTCATTACCCAGGCTGGAGTGCAATGGCGCGATCTCGGCTCACCGCAACCTCCGCATCCTGGGTTCAGGCAATTCTCCTGCCTCAGCCTCCTGAGTAGCTGGGATTACAGGCACGCGCCACCATGCCCAGCTAATGTCTTGTATTTTTAGTAGAGACGGAGTTTCACCATGTTGACCAGGATGGTCTCGACCTCTTGACCTCGTGATCCACCCGCCTCCGCCTCCCAAAGTGCTGGGATTACAGGCGTGAGCCACCGTGTCCGGCCCTGACATCCTTCTTTTAACTGCAAACTGGGAATGGACTTACCTATAGTCCTGCTACTACAAAGAACAGTTTGAAATGCAATGCCCCAAAGTAGAAATGGCGCAAGTAAGATGTGCACCAGTGCTGACAGGCTGTGTTATTCAGGGGTCTTCTCACCTGGTGATCCACCTGCCTTGACCTCCCAAAGTGCTAGGATTACAAGTGTGAGCCACCGTGCCCGGCCCCACATTTTCAATTATACTACACATAGCATTTTGTCTTGTATTTTCCCCTACAGCCAGTCATCAATTCTAAGGGTCCAGACAGTTATGTCAATCTCTTGGACATAATTTTTAACTGCCATGTATAGTGTTGCAATGAATGTGCCATTTGCTGCTTTGCTAATGGGGATGAATGTAACTCATAAGGTTTTTGTGAGGATTAAATGAGTTAAATTAAAAGAAAATATAACAAGTACTTAGCACACTATTTGACGTAATTACTTAATCAACAGTAGCTTTTGTTAATATCATAGCTTAGCTTAGCTGTTTGCTTCTGCTGAATTATTTCCCTAGAATAAATCTTGGAGGTGGGCCTATTAGTTAAAAGGAATTGAAGTCCTTTAATTTTTAATTTCCTATTAAGTTTATTTAGTAAGGGCTGGGTGCAGGCTCAAGCCTATAATCCCAGCACTTTGGGAGGCCGAGGCGGGCGGATCATGAGGTCAGGAGATCGAGAACATCCTGGCCATGGTGGAACCTCGTCTCTACTTAAACACAAAGAATTAGCCAGGCATGGTGGCACATGCCTGTAGTCCTAGCTACTCTGGAGACTGAGGGGGGAAATTGCTTAAACCCAGGAGATGGAGGTTACAGTGAGTTGAGATCACGCCACTGCACTCCAGCCTGGGTGACAGAGCAAGACTCCGTCTTAAAAAAAAAAAATTATAGGGGCCGGGCGCGGTGGCTCAAGCCTGTAATCCCAGCACTTTGGGAGGCCGAGGCGGGTGGATCACGAGGTCAAGAGATCGAGACCATCCTGGTCAACATGGTGAAACCCCGT